CCCTAACTCCGCTCTGGCCCACTCCCGCGCTGGGCTGGGGGCAGGGGAGCTGATGGAGAGGAAGAGGGTGGGCCAGTCCCGGGGAGGGAGTCAGACCCCTTCCCTCGTCCTTCCTGCTTGGGGGCTCGCTCAACCTCCAGCCCAGTCCATCCACGCCCCCCGACCTCGCCTGCCAGTTTCAGCGGCTCACTCGGGCGCCCCAGACCGTTATCCCCCGGCGCCGTTACCTCCGCTGCTGGGGCGGGAGTCCGGCTCCTGGCGGCCCCGCATCCTTCCGCCCGGGCCCGCGAGCTGTGCCTCCCATCCGTCAGCTCGGGACCCCCCGGAGGGAGGGGCGGCGGTTGGATGGTCAGGCGAGCAGCGTCCACCTGCGCTGGGGCGGCTGCCTCCCGGGCCGCGACGTTTCCTCGGTTAACACTCTCTTGCACACACTGCAGCTCTGCGCGCGTTCGCTCGGGACAGGCTGGGGTCGAGAACAGCCAGAGGAGCAGCAGGGGCGGGAAGGGGAGTGGTGTGGTCGCCTAGCAACCGCGCCACGCCCCGGGAAACGCCTCTGCGCAACTACGCGGACACGCACAGGGGCGGGGCTGAGGCCTCTCCCCACTGAGCGGCGCGTGTCTCGGAAGCTCTAGCTGGCTCCCGAAGGTGGGAGGCGGGAGGCTCGGAACCCGCCCCCTGAGGTTCACTGGTCGCTGGCTGAGGCCTGAGGGCCGCGGCTGGGGATGGAGAAAGGCCCTGACGGAGGGTTTGTGAAATAGCAGCCCCCGATTTCTGCCTCAGAAGTGGCAGCCGGCACCTCACGGTCAGCTATCTCTTAGCAAGTTGCAGCCTAGAATTCTAAAACCTCCCTTGAATATGAATAAAATAAGAACGAAAGACATGGGTAATTTCTCAGACTTCACTGAGGGGCGTCCCTCCGGAAGGTAATGAGTTAACAAAGGAAACCAATAGTAATAAACCCATTTTGTGACACCACCGGCGCCACGAATATTTTCATTTAACCTCGGTAACCATACTAGATGACATCCCTCTTTTATATAGATTTAACTAGGATCTGGAATTTAAGCTGAGGTATGTCTGACTCCCCTGCAATGGGATGCCACGGATGGTAGGGCTCAGAGCCATTTTAAGGATGAGGAAACTGAGGCCAGAGGAGATCATGTGGTTGGCGAAGCCTGAACTAAATGTCTCCAAATTCCCAGCCTTCGTCCTGCTGCACCAGACCCCCTGGAAAGAAGGCTCTTCCTGTCTTCTTCCTTGGAATGGGTGGGGTTTTTCCCTTTACTTTTCTGAAAAGTTAAGATGCCTCGGCAACACCAAGGTTAAGCGGATTTGGATAGTTGGCACGAAAGTGAAAGGGAAGGAGGTTAAAACAGAAGAACACAAGTGTTGTTTTCTTGAGCGTAACAGCCAGTCGGATTATCTAAACCTACAAAACACGAGGCAGGCTGTCTGACCCTTGAGGAGAGAACGAAACGTTATGGAAATGCCGAACACGGGCGCCACCTGGTGGGGCTTGGGGACTCATTGCATAGTCCATAAACCTGAAAATTTCCATCCAAGGCTCATTTCCGTGTGACTAAAAGTCATAGTCCCTGTTCTCAAGGCTTTAGTAAAAAGGCCCTTAAAATCCAAAGGCTCTTCACTTTATAAATTAATAATGTGTCAGTTTGGGGAACTCTACTCTTTGCAATCAATGTTTTCTTTAGCCTATGATAAAAATATAAATTCAAAGATTTTCTTCCATGATGATTTAAAATTTTTTTCTAATCTTATGAATAAGCTTTTTTTTCCTAACCTCGCCCAGCCCCTCCCCCACCCTTCCCCAACCAGAACAATCCTGCTTTCATGTGGGTTTGTACTTAGACTCCTATGGAATATTTTGTTTGAAGGAAGAGTTCCATGGCAGCGAAAGGTTTGGACTAGATTGTTGCTCAGGTCCTTTCCAGCTCTAAGGTTGCAAAATTGTATTAAATAATCATTGTTCTTAGTACTTACATGGACCCCTCAGACCACTTTACTGCGCTAAACGTTTCAATAGGACTTGCCCCCCGCCAAGTTTTCTTACCTCCTTCTGAATCACTGCTCTCTCCAAGTCTGTTTTAAGACATAGCTTTGTAAGCCACCTTGAAGCATTCTGCTCCCCTTCCTGCCCCTGAGGTGGGAAGCACAGAGGCCTCCTTTGTCTTTAGGCTATTGATCCCAAGGTCACAGGAGGGAGGATTACACGAGGGTGCTGGCACTTCATGAGTCTCCGACTTAGTGACCCAAGTAATTTCTTCAAAGAGCCCCTGTTTCATAACAGTGTGGCTGGATTAAAGCCCGATGAGGGATCTAGCAGGAGCCTCCACACCCCAGCTGAACTGCTGCCCTGTGCGCTCTAGCTCCTGAGCAGCTTCTACATCATTTACTCCCTTTCTTCCCTTCCCGTTACCAAAACACAGGGTTTGCCTCTTGGTGGGTGTTGAGCCAAAAGACACAACGAAGTCAAAGAGTGAGAGAAGGAAGGATTTATTACTTGCAGCAAGTAAGGAGAACCCTGGGGATCTTTCCCAAAGCAGTGTCTCCCAGAACTGTAAAACTGGAGAAGTGTTTTGTTTTGTTTTTGCGGCCTCTCCCACTGCGGTGCACAGACTCCGGACGTCCAGGCTCAGCGGCCATGGCTCAAGGGCCCAGCCGCTCCGCGGCATGTGGGATCTTCCTGGACCAGTGCACGAACCCGCGTCCCCTGCATCGGCAGGTGGACTCTCAACCACTGCGCCACCAGGGAAGCCCAAAACTGGAGAAGTTTTAAGCATATTCATGAAAGGGCTTGGGTGGTTGACAGAGTTCAAGCTTCAGTTGATTTAAGTCATGAAGTTCATAAAACGTCAACATCATTATCGCTTAGGTTCCAGTTGATCTGGTAGCTGAGCACTTCAGGCTAATCTTTGCCATTGAAAGAGAACTGGGACTCTTTAGAACTTCTCTTGCCTAATAACAGGCAATGTTTCTGCATTCTTCTCTTCCCTTAAGATCATTAATTACTGAGACCTGTTCAAGGGCAAGCATTGTGGCCAGGCTTAGATAACAAAATGGCTTCTGTCAAGAAAGCCATGCCTGGTTCTTTTTCTCCAAGGATCCCCTACCCTATCTGCTTATGCTCCCTAGCCCCACTCAAGAGTAGTTCAAAATGTCCATTGTCTCTCTCAGTGCAGCTAAAGCCAGATTTACCTATCGTGGATTAGCCAAATATCATATAAGATACCTGCTTGCTTGTTGAAGCCAGTTCTAATACATCTGCAAAATAAGGAACCCCTAAAAAATGAACAAGAAAAATGGAACTATTCCAGGGTCTTCAAAAATCATCAGAACATTCAGAATGCGATTATAGCAGTTTCAAATGTATAGATTAAGAAAATATTCCTATGGCCACATGCAACTGGAATTTTGTGATGAAACACCTGTTGGTTGGTTAAGTTTAAATTCTTTTCAATAACTATAAATTATTCTTTGCAGCATGATGTGCCATAATGCATAGTATACCATATTAATCACAAAATTGGAATGCATTTAAAAAAATCATTTAGAGAGAACCTATGAAACTCACCATTTTCCCTAAGCTATGTCGACCTCAAGTTCACCTGAGCTCCAGAAACATGTATAGCTATTTTCAGAAACAGAGATTTAACTCACTGAAACACTAAAACCATGTCATTTTTCTGAAGTTTCAGAAAGCTGTCTCTCTTCTGAACCTCATGGACTTCTGTTACCAAACTCAGGTTCAGCTGTTTACCACTCGAAAGCCCATACTTGAGAGGCAAGTGTTGGTTGGAAAGGAAAGGTTGCTTTATTCAGGAGGCTGGCAACCTGGGGAGAAGGCAGACTTGTGTCCAAAAACCAACTCCAGAGATTCTGCTGGACCATGAAAGTTTTTAAAAGGAGAATCATTTTGGGAGGGGGTCAGAGTCTTCATTACCTTCTACCTTGTACAGACTTCTGATTGGTTGGTGGTGAGGTAACAGGATGGTGTTCCCAGAATCTAGTGCTTAGCCTGAAGTTACGGTCCTCCACCTGGGAGGGGGCCTTAGTTCCTGCAGAAGAACTCAAACATGTATTGTTATGTATATTCCTTGAAGAGGAACCAGGAACCTGCCCCATGCTGCACTACTGTTTCTTGATTGCTCCTCCTTTCTTTCTGCAATCAGAACTCAAACATGTATTGTTATGTATATTCCTTGAAGAGGAACCAGGAACCTGCCCCATGCTGCACTACTGTTTCTTGATTGCTCCTCCTTTCTTTCTGCAATCCCTCCCTTCCCTGATAAGCAACTGTTTGAATCTGCCCTTTGGAACTCAGGAAAGGTCAAGGAGGCTATGAAGACTATATTTCCTACAGATAAGAAACAGGGGACATGGAAAGGATTTATACCTTGGAGGGCCCTACAGGGTCCTGCAAGGTTTCACTTCCTGTACTTATTCCCTCTCTCTCTCTTCCCCAAGCTTTGAAAGTTGTCCCATTAATGCTTCTGAATCTTGAAAACAACAACAACAACAACAACAAATAAAATCCCTATGCTTCTTCCAATACTGTAGACACTTGGTTCTATATCTCCTAAATCCTGAAGTTTGTCCTTATTAATCCCTAACCCCAGAAATATTTATCTTTTCCCAAAATATCTGTCACCTCTTCTCACCTACTCTTCTGACCAGTTCCACCGACAGACCTGAGGGACCATATGAAACTATGTTTCTGAAGTTTTAAAACCTAACCAGGACTCTTTCTAATATAATTACCATTTTTTAAAAATATATTTATTTATTTATTTTGGCTGCACTGGGTCTCAGCTGCGGCACGCAGGATCTTCATTGAGGCATGTGGGATCTTTAGTTACAGCATGCAGACTTTTAGTTGCAGCACGCATGCAGGATCTAGTTCCCTGACCAGGGATAGAAGCCATCCCCCTGCATTGGGAGCACAGAGTCTTACCCACTGGACCACTAGGGAAATCCCTAATTACCATTTATTAAGTCTATTATGTTCCAGGTACCATCAGAAGTGCTTTACATATATTTTCTCATTTAAAACTTATAACAGTCCTGTGAGATAGGTATTATCCCTATTTTACAATTCAGAAAACATTCTCAAAGATTAACAACTTGTCCAAGTTCACCCAGCTGGTGTGTGGTGCCAACTAAAAATTGTCACTTGCCATCTGGCACTACAAAAATGAAGTCTCAAGCCACTGCAGTTGCTGACCTTCAACACACCCTGAAAGGAGTTTAGGGTAGAGATCAGGAATGAGGCATCCTGTGCTCTGGGAAAAATTGGCAGGACAGGCCTTCAGATAGTTGGATATTTTCAGAAGATTTTATGAGCCCAGTTTCTTGCATCTTCTCATATCCAGAGAATAACTAAAATCATAAATGGAGACATCTGCTCCTCATGACTAGCAACAACCTTCTGCCAAAAATGTGTGCTTGA